GATCAGGTTTCTGCTGACGCGATGCCAGGCACGTCTGCTTCCAGGAACCGGCAGCCGCATTTAGCCGCGGGCCGCACATGAAAGGGCTGCAGTCGGAAACGTGACGTTGTGTCAACAGGCGAGGCGGGTCAGCGCCGGGTGAGACCATCCCGGCAGGCCCGCGGCTCACGCCCTGTCTGAGCGGCCAGGTCCCCGGCCCGCTCCCCGGCCTCCTGCCGCCCCTCCCGGGCCGCAGCAGAGCTTCACCCCCTCGCAGGCACACACCCCTTTTTAGACAGAGGTCCTCTTTGTCCCCGGCTCCCTCCGAGCCACTTGGAACCTGCTGCCACTCGGCCAGAGCGAGGTCAAGGGCGAACCAGAAGCAGCGAGGAGGCAGAGGGACAGCCGCCGCCGCAGGGGTGTCGGACGGAGCAGGCGCCCGGTGGGGGATTCTCGGCTGACTATGTGTTGAACCCTCAAACCTTTTTTAAATACAGGTCGCTCCAACCACTTCCTTCTGTCCCCAGAGCTAGTCCTGAGTCACGGCCCAGGGGAGCAGGGCATGCAAAACCAGTTTGGTCTTGGTTTCCACCCTGAGCTGCATCCCCAGGAGAAACTTGACTTGTTCGGGTTTTTAACCTAAAAAAAGGTCTAGTGACTCACGGAGGAATTCACGGGCCTATCAGACAGGAGACCTGCAAGCCCAGGCCCCCGGGTGCCTGCTGTCCCACACTTGAGAGAGCTCAGGACCCTTACTTCACCCAGTGCAGGAGCAGGATGTCGCCAGGGCAAGTGACAGACACCGGCGGGCGGATGAGCCCACCGGTCCAGGGCTCCTTCAAGGACACCCTGCTGCCTGGGGACCGTTGTGCCTTTCAGACCCTGCCCTCTGCACCTCACAGGAGCCAGGCAATGTTCACTGTCACCTGCTGCCTCACAGGAGACGGGGGAGGTGACATTTGAAGCCAGCAGTCCCGACAGGCAGGTGGTGGTGTCTCTGCCTGGCCCATTGGTGCCCAGGGGCCCGGGGCGGGTTCCCTGCCAGGGATCCAGGAGAACGCGAGCCGGGCAGTGGCATCGGGAAGCACTGGGACGCCCCTGGGAGACTGGTGAGGCGCCCACATTCGGCCGGGCCGCCCCGCCTCTCTTCCCATGGAATTTTTCTCTCTCCTAAGAGCGCCGGGCTGAGGAACACCGACATCCATTCACGCACAAACACACCCATGGAGAGGAAGTCCAGGAAGGAAGCAGAAAATAATTATGGGATGTTGCCTTCAGCAGCGGTGAGACAGGATATGGCAAATCCATCAGCCGCGCTGGGCTCGAAAAAATGTGGGCTGCCCTGGCAGAAAGCTGCTGCGGGCGTCGGTTATC